CCCCCCCCGGAAAAAAAAAAGGAAGTAAGATTACAATATTGAAAAGGACAATAAAACATGAAAGGATACAGAACATCTCTTGTAATTCAAAACCAACTTTAGTTTCCAGCTAAAGTTTATCCTCACTAAAATCATGTTAGTAGGTCAATTGACAAAAAAAAATCCTGATATTGTTATAGTTTATCTAATTTCCAACAAAATTAGAAAAAATGACATATAAGTTTCTGTTACCAACACACACACACACACAAAAAAAAAAAAAACACAACTAAACTCAAGGAATGTGATCAGAGGTTTATAAATGTAGATACAGTAACAATCCAATATTCCTATCCTTATGGCAAGGACCCCAGACTATCTAGTCACAACCTAAATGGGTTATCAGAAGCAATGAAAAAAAGAGCCCCTTGAAAGGATAGATGATAAGAGCAGCCTAGGAAGATTTAAGAAATCTTAACGTTGAGAAGATAGAAATTAAAGGATATTCATTGCTTCTTTTTATAGTGAAAGAGAATTTTCATGAGAAGACAAAATGAATAGTCCATCAAAAATTTTAAAATAAATGTTTCAAAGAAAAACCTTTTATCTCAAATTAAAATGCATAAACATAAAATGTAAAACATATTTAAAATGAAAATTTAAAAGTAAAATCAAGCATAACATATAAAATATATTCAGAATGTAAAACTCTCAATCTTTTTATTCTTTTCCCAATTGCATTAGTTCAAATAGCTAATGCGAAGTGCAAGGAGCACCAGGCTCACGCCTTTGAGAGTGCTGCACCTGAAGCACCTAGGCACACCTCAGGCATGCCTTTAAATCACTGAGAACAGGTAACTCTCATTTAAACAAAAAAGGGAAGTACGAGGATGTACATGAGAAAATGTACACACAATGGCTTCAAACAAAAAGAATAAAAGCCCACTCAAGAAGGATAGCAATTAGCAGCATACCCAAAAAAAAAACCTTGCCAACCCAGCTTTAGGTAGAGCAACTGCTTGACAATTCAAAATCCTAGGGATCCATTTAAAGCTGCAATATCATAGATTTCATTAAGGAGATGAGCCATCATCCAAGGACCATCACTTAGCTTTTTGGCCCAGCCAATTGCATTTCTAGAATCACTTTCTACTATAATAGAATCCAAATGCAGAGATTTAGTCACACAAAGACCAACCAGCAATGTGTGGACTTCAGCCTCTGAGACGTCAGTGGCAGAAACAGGGCCACTATAAGCAAAAACAAAGCTCCTATCCAGCCTCAAAATAACCCCACCTATACCTTCCACCAAAGGTAAATTGTTGGATCTGCTGAGGATGCCATCGAATCCCAAAATATTGACACCTGACCTCAGAGAAAGTGGGAGTGGTTTCTCTATTTTTGGCTGCAACTTGCAAGTGGGATCCTCCAAATGAAGTAGCAGGGCTGATCCTTTTTCTACGGAACGCCAACAAGGAGTCAAGGAGAAGGAAGATTTTGTGGAGATGCACAAGGGCAGCCATCTCATGGTCTTTATGGGAGGAAAGAAATGACAAATACTCAAGGGGATAGCAAGAAAGAAAGAGATGTGTGGCAAGCATGGACATTGGGTGAAATCCATGGAATTCCTTGCTCCTTTCTCCATGGATGACATCACAAGGGATTAGGGTTGGAATATAGAAAATTCATCGATGACAAGACCTAGAGTTCAAGAACATCGATGAAAGCTGAATTTTGATGGATGCAGCATTAGAAACCCTATATCATCAAGCACTGGAGGGTTTCTAATGAATATGTTGATTTTCTATACTTTAATATGAACTTTATACTTTTCTTATGAAAATTATGAATAATTATTAAGGAAATAAGGTTATGGTACCTAGGGAACTACCCTAGGATCTATGTTTTCAACATAAAAAAATCCATCGCCTAGGCGCCCTCCTGTCGCCTAGCCTCGCCTTGGCGCCTTGAAAACTATGACAGGGAGGTAAAAGAAATATTGTTGCGATATATTCTGGACCATCTAGTACTGATGATTCTTTAAGGGCAGAATTATTATCTTTAGTACAAGGATCAAGAACCAGAAGAAATCTGGGTTTCCAAAATGTAATTGTGAAAGGGGATTCAAATGTGGTAGTGAGTTGGATGAGACTAACAATCAAGGCCTGTGGCAGTACTGGCACATGATGAGGGAGATAAATTTCTTGACAAGGGAGTTGAGAGCCATATACAATAGGGTTGCTAGATCAGTAAAGTGAGTGATTAACGCATTGCCCAAGCAAGGAGCAACTAGGGATAGACTGTTTTGGGGCCAATATAATATAGAGTAATGTGAATACTAAAAGGGGTGCAGGGCACTTTGTATATATAGGCAAACAAGTTCTCGGATGCTGGTACACAGTACATAAAACTACTTTCCAATGACAAATTTAATAATTTAGCTACCATGAAAAAAAGGAAATAGATAAAGCAAAAAAGAAAAGTCCATTCATTTGCCAACAGTTCAGGACTTTCTCTAAAGGCTTCTAGTCACAGAAAATAAAATTTGTAGCTTCAAAATATTTTCAAGTTTTGACCGGTCCAAATAAAATAATACAAGTGAATTTGGTTTTGGATTGTTAGCGATGGATACAAATCTTAACCGGTGCAAAAATATATCCATGCCTACAATGTTACAAAATTATGCATCATGATAATACAGGCTAAGTAATATAAAAAGATAAACTTACAAGCTTATGAAGCAAATCAGGCTGTTCTTCAAATAAGTCAGGCAAATGTTTTTTCATAGCCATCTCCAACTTAAGGGCATCTCTCCCTGGGACACCATACCACATTTTTGGAGCACCCCAATGCATATAATTCAATGAATACAAGTGATGGTCTTCAACATGCTGTTCCTCCAAAGAAAAAGAGAGGGATGAGAAGAGACAGAAATAGAGATCATAATACAAAAACTGCTCCTATAAAACATGCACAGTTATTGCTTATGCTAAACCATGAAACATACTGACTAAAGCAAGTTGGTCGTAGAAAATTAAAGCAAAAGATAATGATAAGTCAGACATGAAAATTAAACATAAAATCATCCCTTACCCAACAAAATGATGAAAAGCACATGCCTACATACAACCATGGCACTAGGACACCAGAAATATCGCTGTTTTCAAAGGACAGAACAGAACCCGGAAGCCTTGGGAAATTGTTCAAGTTCCAGCCTGATGTCAAATATTTCTCATCACTATTGGAACACATCATTGGAGAGGACCTTTTCAAGAACCCACTACCAAAGACTCCAGTTTCTAGATCAGCACCATAGAGCACCTACAAAAGCATACCAGGGCAATATATCAAGCTATCCAAATAATTTTAGACGAGAAAAACCCTAAGAATTAAGAATTTCATATTAGGCCTACCAATTTCTTCCATCATACCTCAATTTCTTCAGTTGGCTTCTCAACCATTCTCCAATATTCGCTCTCAATATCCTGCACTGATGGTTCCAACTTCTTTTGAAGAACAGTCTGATTACCACCCACATCTGTACTCTCATCATTGTTGTGAAAATACTGCATCTTGAAATCATCTGCATATTTCTGAAATGCTTCCAGAGTGAACTCTGGACCAGGTTCAAATCCAAATCTCTCAGGTTCATAATATGCAGTTTCATTAATGATATTAGTATTACCAGTCACACAATTGAATCCCATTCCCATGCATCTTCTCCTTTTCCTCTTCAGGTGGGTATAAATTCGAGACATTTTCCTCAGTGAATCCCGATTTTGAAGCTTATCAATCCGTTGGATGCGAGTACCAAATTTAGAATTTTCCCATATATTCTTTTCCTTAAGAGGGCATGGTGGTTTCCAAGAAGAGGGAGGTACAATGCGGCAAATCCCATATGGCTCTGCTCTTGGGCGTATGCTTGCAATATACTTTAATGTATCTTTAAACTCCTGGAGATTGTTAAAAGCACTTTTAGAAGTTTCTTCTATAAAGAACCTATCATTTGATGAAAAAGTAAAAATACCGGGCAAGAAGCAACCAATTCCATAAAATGACAAGAGATAGGGTAGACCTCTTCAGTTGGGTAAAATACAGGAGCATCCCCAAGGACAGGCCGGCATGCTTCATCTGGATGCCACCTTGCTGTTACCTAGTCGAAGATGTCAATTATCAATTACATGCATCACAGAAACATAAGCCAAAGTCACATATTTGGAAATTAACTAGAGAAAACTACCTTTTGACAGTTTTTGCACTCTGAACAACCCCTGATGATGCCCCTTGGAAGGCGAGGCCTTGCAGAAAGGTTCTGAAAGAGAAATGGAATATCAAAGAAATACTTCAGAACTGGGACTCCATTGATATGAATGAAATTTACATTATTAACATCCTAGAATAAGGCATAACGAAACAGAAGTGGAAAAAACAACTGACCTGATCAAACTGTTCAGAATCAGATTCATCTGAGCTGTTGTCAAATTGACTATAGTTTATCCAAGGTCTCTGCCTAAGGCACCTTGTAAGTTTTGGTTTATCAATATCACCTTCCATATCCATATGATTTGGCTGTTGTTCAGATGCACTGGAGGCCATGCAACTAGTCATGACATCACTATCATCTATCCTCTTCAAAGTGAATGATGTAAATGACACAAAACCTGGGGGAACTGTGGGAATTTCAATTTTCTCTCCTTTAACACAAGCTCTTATGCATTCTGTCCCCATCAACACTGTAAATCAAAAGAACTCAGCATGCAAAATAGATTAAGATATGGCAGTTCAAAGCCCAAAGTCGCATCCTAAGATTAAAAATAGACATGAATTTAAGGTCAAAGATAAGAGGACTAGGATATATTAACCTCACCAAAAGTTGTATGAAAGTAAGGAATACATGAAGATATCCATCAACCTGGCACTGCATCTGTAGACATAATAAAACTTATAAGTGCACTCTACAAGAGAAGTTGATTCCATATCCAAAACCAACAGCATTTCCGTTTCTTTTTCAGTTTTGCTCTTTTCTTTGTTTATTTATGTGCTTTTTTATTTTTTTTCTTTTTTTTTCAGGGGGGTCATCTGGAAGAAAGGTCATTAAAAGGGGAGATGGTATTATAGAAAGAACATCAAATGAGCATAACAGGTCATCCGATGGTATGATTCTTGTCTAAGAATGACATTATCTTTTCTGTACATAATACCACCGTTTCTAATAGAGAAAGCAGAGTATTGTGAACTTTTGTTTATCTTGTTTGTTGTGATTCAGTAATTGAACTTAGTAAATTTTCATATTTTTCATTTAAGTCAAACTATTGGGGGAAACCAGCAATGGAATTGATGGAGTTTGCTTGTAGAATTAATGAAAGGATTCACTGGACCTCTTCTGTGCCTATTGGGGATTTTTTATTCTATCTAAGCAGAAGCAAGGGCTCTTCTTATGGATGCTCAATAGCTAATCAGCTTCAGCTTTCATCTTTGGAAAATGGCAATTGAGAATGATTCTCTGAACACAGAAAAATGGTGTCAAAAGGTTGAAAAGGACTCTGGTGTTTCACCCATTTCCCTCACAAGATTATAGAAATCTTCACATCTATGAACATCCAAATAAGATAGACTCAAGAGGAGCTGACTAAATGGAAGATATGCTTCTCTAATCAGAAAGGGGTTCGGAAATTTTTTTTAATTAGTGAAAGCAAACCTAAATAACTTTTTTGGGCCAAGTTAGATAATGAACACTTTGTTCATATACTTGTGTAGCATATCCCCTCCTATATATTATCTTTTCATCTGGAAGTAATACAAATGATAGATTTTTTCAAGTTATTGACTCTCATGAGCTATTTGAGCTTGCCCACATCAAAGTAATTTATTGGCTTCATGATGTAAAATTGTTTAGGGACACTCCCATTGACCCCTAGACAAGGCATTTCCATGTACTTCAAATTGTTGATGATTGGATTTGACATATGTTCCTTGGATAACCCCAGGATTTCATGGTTTATCTGAATTTCAAAAAGTGGTCAAGGGGTATTGCTGGTGTATGTTGGACCCACCGATGCGACTAGTTCTGCTAAAGCTCAGATCATTTCCCCCATTCTGGGTTTTGAACTGTCCTTTAAATGGATTTTGTTGAATTCATTGTGTGAGGGTGATTCCTAGGTTGTGGTCAGCAAAATATCGGACCTTTCAACAGGTCATAAGAGATGAACAACCATATCAGAAAGGTGAAATCACTGGCTTTTGAGTCTGAACCACCAATTCAGTTGCAAATGTGCTTCCTAAAAAGGACTAGGGAGTGAGAAGACCTCCATACTGAGGTGTTTCAATGGCAATTTTGGCATTACCACCTATCTTTAAGGGCAGTTCTCTTCTTCTGCTGGTTTTCTGATCTCACTCCAAGATCTTGGGTTTGTACTTCCTTTATTCATAATTGATGTATTCCTTGATCTGATACACACACAAGCTGATATTACCAGAACCTACAGCTTAAACCATGAACCATCAACATAAACTTGCAAACAATGTCATCCAGAAGTTTCCAATTAGAGGATGTTCACATCCTCTATGAACATTTTTCACTTTGGAATAACTCATTAGACATAAGAGATGTCCAGTATCTATCTTCTCAAATTTCACAGAACAAAGAAGTAATTCATATTTCATCATTGTTGCTGAAGCAATGTATCTTTCAGAAGTTTCTTTAAGATGCATATGCCAACATAGCAATCTCAGAATCAAAACCTTGATTCTTGAAAATAACTAGCAGCATAACTGCAGATAGAAATAAACTCTTCAGTAAGATTTGCTTCCAAAAATTTGCCATGCCCCATGTAGTTTGCTTTTCTGTTTTTGTGGTTGACAAAACTATTATTCTTAATGGATCTTTCTACCAAAACCATCTGTGCACAAGTGCAGGCTAAAGATTCTTAATTGCAAATTAGTCAGCACATAAAAATGTCATATCTTACCAAAGATCAAAGAATTTTTCGCCCCTTATCACATTCAACAATAAAGCAGTTTTATCATTTGATACTAGGATTCTAAACATCATCACATATTGAAGATCACTACTATAAACAAAAATGAACCAAAATATAATAAAAGTGCTTAACAAGTCATAAAAATTATTAATTAATAGAGGATATTTATTTATCATAAAAAATGAACAGTAATCTCTACCAACAAAAATCAATAAATATTATTTTTATTGGAGCAATCAACAGAAAAATCACATGTAAAAAAGAAAAGAAATTTTCTAAAATTTACTGAACTTACATATTCTAGACTTAAGAGAACGATTCCTGCTTTTGACCTAAAATCAACTCAAGTGCATTGATGACACCCAAGATATTGAAGAAAAAACAATAATCAGACGAACCTAGAAGGGAGAAATTCAACAAAAATCTAGAAAAACGAAAAGGACCAAAAACAATAAAGCTTTCTTGTAGTAGATTAGTCGATGCAGAAAAACCGCTTTCTTGACCGCGGATCTAGCCCTAGACCAGATATCTCACAACAACGAACCCTTTAAAAGGAAATTCTCTTTAGCAAAACTGGTTTATGGGTGGGTATATAAAACTATGGATTGGAAACAAAACTGCATTCCTCTCAACCCCAAACCAGTCTCTACAGTCTGAAACTCAACCAATCACAGACAACAATAAACCCTAAGTTTGCAAATAAAGAAACCATGGAACCAATTGACTCAGCCTATGGGTGCAAAACAAACCTATCTTCAGCAATACTGGATATTTCACTGGCAAAAGGAACGATTCAAAGAAAAGAAAAAAAAAATCTTGAGAGAATGAAATAATCGATTTTAAAACCCTAACCCTAACAAACAGAAATCATACATAGTTACATACAGTCCCTAAAGAAATAGTCATGGACTCATGGCCTTTTTAGTCATACAATTTACAAACATTACAAATTATTATTAATAAATATAAAAAAAAAATATCTTAAATAAACAAATAAGAAAACAGTAATAAAGGCTTTGAGAAATTGGAGCAGAAAACGCGAGAAATTGGTGAGAATTTGCTGGTATTATAACCTTCAACGGGACCCAACCTCTCCACCACCAATGAACAGTCTCAGCCAGAACTTACTGAAAAATCAAAAAAGTAAAGAGAGGTGTTAAGTAGTAGGTGGGTTTCTGGTTCGCTTCCCTTTTGGCTTTGGCTCTCTATCTTTAGTTCGCTAGTTTGGACTTTGGAGATACCCTTTGTGCATCTATGGAGTATAGACCTATAGTCCTGTTGATCGACACTCTTTGCGTGATGGAAGTAAAAAATTTCTCGGACACGTGACAGAATATTGACGGTTGGATGTGATCAAACAATCTATGGGACCATCACCAGGGCCGTTTATTTTGGATAATCTGATCACATGGCCATTATTCGCCCCATCTTTTCAAGTTGTTACTTTTTAAGTGTAAATTACAGAATCCACCCTGGACTTGGGGGTTGTGACATTTAACCCCTTACTGAATTTTGCTTTTGACTGAAAGAGCTTAGTACTTTCCCCTTGCCATTACCATTCTGTCAATTAGCTCCCTAACTATACAAATATTTTCTTGCGACTATCATGTATCATGTATGTGGTGAGTTTGTATATTTTTAAACCCCAAGTTGCCCTTGTGCTTTTTAAACCTCAAAGCAGAGATTGGCTTCTATCAGGGCAAATCTGTGCCCACACCATTCTAACAGTTTTTTGTAACTTTGTATTGGAAATATCTTCCTATGAAATAAAGCACATAAGTATAGAGGTATTCTCAATGCAAGACAGTAAAAACTGTCGAAATGGACTTTGCCTTGACTCAAGTTGAACTCCCCAAAGCATGGGCATCCCACATGCACATAGAGAATATATCCTCGTGAATAGAACTTTGTTGGGAGGGAAGTCAAGTATCCAATAAAAATACTGTGCCAACACATTACACCATTATTTGTGTCTGCATATCTCACTATAAGATTAGAAACCACCATGCAACATGCATGAGATCAGTGGATACACTGACAAAGATCATGTTAGAATGTATTGGGAAAGTTTGAGGGGTTTTTTTGTTACAAAACAAAATTTGAGGGGGCAGTATCACGAACTCATGATCCCCTTACACTATATTTGGTTTGAAGGAAAGAGTAGGGAAAAGAAGGAAAATGTAGGAAAATCTATAAAAAATTTTTAAAGATTTTTCTTCTTTTCCTTTCCTTTCATTTCCCTCATTTTTCTTTTAAATCAAACATAGCCTTAAAGTAGAGGGTATGTGTCTAAAATTTTGCAGATGCGGGCCCACCTCTCTGGGACGGAACGTACAATCAGATTACTCTCGTTGTTGCTTAACTACGTCTATGACATGTAGAGTCATAGACCCGTCACGGCGTCACTAACTACCAAAACTCTCAACGCGACAACGCGTTTTACGTTCGATTGACACGCTTTCCATTTGTAGTTGGGTGAGTTGGGTCGGGACTGTCCTGGTCCAATGGCTACAAAACTCGTACCTGTCTTGTTGGGCCCTCAATCGGACCCACAAGCCAATTGTCTTCCTACAAAAGGGCCCACATGTTATTATCCTCAGAAGTCAGAACCTTTGTCCAACGTTCAAATTTATATGCCAGGATAACGGAGCCGAAATCATGCCTGGCCCAGAAAATCCAACCTTGTGTCACATGATGACTCACGTGAAAGGTTATTGGGCTGGGCCTGGATTTTTGCACCACCCAATCATTTGCCGTTGTGTTTAAGGCCTAATTTGACGACCGTGATTAACATGGGAAGGAAGGTTTTGTCAGATGATGCAAATCCCGGTGCAAATGGAATTTTCTTGCCTTTGCGATTGAATGCTGTCTGGGTCCCTCACATGGAAACGGGTTTTGGCTTTCTCATTCACATTCAATATCAATCCCCCACCTTGTATTGGCATCTCATATGTCCCATTTGGCATTAATCTACTGGTTGCATTTGGTGGGGCCATTTTAGAAACCTTAAAAGAATTATTGGAGGCCCATTCCATTAGGATGGGGGTACGGCACACTTGGCTCCACCCCAGATGATAAACCCAGGGACCCCTCATAATGATGAGGAATCGTTTGTTGCTAAAATGGACCATACCTTGTTTTGATATGGGCCCCCATATGGGATTAAATCACCAGCTAAATGTAGGCCCAATTTACTGGTCTCTCATTGATTTGTATGGAGTGCAAATGAAAACAATGCAAATTATAGTTTAATTTTGGTTAGGGTTTTACTTTATTTCGCTTGGGATCTTATTTTACTTCATTATATTGCAATCAAACAAAATAAGGTAAATTTTGGAACAAAAAATAAATTGAAATTTACACACAAATCATTTGCACTATTAGAATTTTACATCAATGCAAAATAAATTTGCACTTCAACCAAATGCAGCCTTAAGAGTTTTGTATTCAAAGTTGGAAATTCTCTCCTCAATTGTTCTGTATGAGTTTCTCCCCCCAAACTCTCATACCATTCCCCATTTATCAGGCTCTCATCCAACAATGAATCACGCCCCCTTGATGAATCCACCAAAGGATTTTTTTTGGTAAGTAGAATAGCAAAGTCAACATTAGTTGAAAGTTCAAAGAAATAAAGGCTAGGGGTGTAATTGAGTTGAGTCAAGTCAGAGTTTTGGGAGGCTTGAACTCGACTCAAAACTCAAAGCTTGAAACCCAATTCGAGTTCGATCGAGTTTTGAGTTTCATATGCGGACTTGACTCAAATTGATACTCGTGAGGTACCCAAGCTCGACTTGGCTCAAACCAATTAAGCTCGTAAGCTATTTGAGTCAAACAATAAAAAGCTCGAACTTGGCTTGACTAACTACTCGACTCGAGTACTTAGCGACCCAAGCCCGAATAGCTCACTTAAACCCATAACACAAGCTAAGAAAGAGCATGCCACAAATCCAAATGATAGGAATTCAAGCGGCTTGGAATTTCATGGATTAGAACCAAGTGACAGAATTCAACCTCGACTCTTTCCTACTAAGATTCCCGATCATGACAGGTCGAGATGCAGTTGCAAATGGCGGCCTATCGACCTTCAAGGAGAAACTTATTATGTTGGAATCATGCCAAATAAAGTGCCATCCACATACAAACTTAAAGTAGATTTATGGGTGCATATCTTACGGTTGTTGGTAGAGTATTTGACATCAGAAGCGGGTATATGCACTATGGAGTTAGCGGAAATAATTGGAACACTCTATCAACTAAGGGTAAGGGTATGTTTGGATTGCAGTCGGAATTAGAATGGTCTATTTTCATAATTTGTTTGGTTCAAATAGAAATGGGAATGGGAATTGGAGTCAAAGGAATAAGATTTCATTCCCAAGGGAGGGACGGGGAATGAACATTCTCTCAAATGGGGGGAATTTCATTTCAGCAGGAATGGGAATGGGATTCCAATTCCACCCAACCAAACAATTGTAATTGGAAAAGCCCATTCCGATTCCAATTCCAGAACCCTATTCCTGTGAACCAAATGGGGCCTAAGAAGAAAAAAGCAAAGAAATGGTTGTGTGTTTGTTTTCTGTTTTCAAAACTGAAACCAAAAACATGTTCTTGAATTTGGTTTAAAAAACATATTTTCATCTGATTATTCAAATTCATGCTCCATAAATCATATAGTCTCTATACTAAAAAAAATTTGTTTTTGTTTAAAAAACTAATGCTTTGTTGGTTCCAAAAACATGTACTCTTTTTTAAAACAAAACCAACTTATTTTTTCCTTTTGAAAATAAAAACAGAGTTCAATAATTATATATATTGCTAATGTGGCAATTCCAAAAACAAATGAAAACAAAAAAATTCATATTGTAGAACGCCCCCTAAGGCTATGTTTGGTTTGAAGAAAAAGGTAAGGAAATGAAAGGAAAAGGGAAACCTATACAAGGTTTATAAAAGTTTCCCTATATTTCTCTTCCTTTCCCTACTTTTTCATTCAAACCAAACACAACCTAAATGATTCATACCATTACCTCATGCAAAATTCATACCACCTTATAAAGTGGGACAATATTATTTTTTATTTCTCTTGCTTAGCTTCCTCGTGATTCTGTTCTCTTTCATATAGAAGTGGAGACCATACCATTGTACTCTTCATTTTAACTACTCCTCATCATAAGCAAATAAAGCAAAATCAAAACCTAAGACAATAGTAAACCAGAATTTTACACTTGGCCCATATGCACTCTCATGCATTTAATCTAATGCGTATTTTGATTTCACTGCAAAACAAATGGAGCCTAAGGATTTATAAGCTTGGCATGAAACCATTGGTTTGTTCTATTAAGCTGTGACTTAGAAAGCAAACCTTTCTAGTGTTTCATATTACTCATAAATCAAATTTTTGAAAATATGATTAAGTAGTAATACTATTTAAATGAAAGTAGTGCCAAGATCAGGGTGCTTTGAGTTGTGATTGTTAAATATGGGCTTGGATATGCTACCCGCAAGCTGTTTCTACATCCATATCCATGGGATATTATACATGAGAATCTGGAATATCCCCCTTGTTATTCATGTGGAGATGTTCGATGTTCCCAATACATGATGGTGGTATTCTATGAGTAGAGATGTGGGAACATTTGTAGCTACCAGTGCGCGGAGTGGTTACATATCTTGGTAATAGGTTATATATGTCCATGTCCAAATAAAAAAGGTTGATATTCATCATAGAATCAGACTTTTTTTAGTCAAATCAAACCTACTTCGAAGATTATTCTGACGCAAAAACAAATGTCTTTTGAACCATTTCATTAATGCAAAAGGTTCAGTTTGGATGGAGTACAAATACAAATATATAGAATGCAAAACCTTGCATTTTGTATGCATTTATACCATGAATATTTGTATTTGCACTCTTTTCAAACTGAGCTAAATGTACAAT